ACCCATTCTGACCTGCATGAGTCCTCCCCAGTCATATATTGTGTCCAGATCCTCCTTCCTTGTTAACTTTGAAAGTCTGCCTATGGGCGATTGGGGTTCGTATGCTTCCAGTTCATAAGGCCCTTCGTTGTTCTCCCTGACCTTAACCGTGTAGATGGTCAAGGGGAGGGGCATATAAGGAAATTTAACTACCCAGTCATCTTGCAAGACAGTGGGCCCTTCCTTGAGTATGTGTTGCCAAGCGAGGGGGAGAGCCTCTCTTAACAGGTCAGCCTTATCTTCTATGTTCTTTACATATTTGAGCCTCTCTTGCAGGAGTCGGGGGGTTGCCCATTAGCCCCATTCCCCTCTCGCCGGGTCCTACAGGTCCCCAATCGTATAGATGCCCTTTTTGGCCCAGATGAGCCAGGGCGAGTTCCTTGTTAGGACAAAGGGGACTCCTGTTTCTTGGAGGATGTTCGGGTTGCCAAAGAGGGGTTGCCTCCATATATCGTGCCACCTGTTGGGTGACATTTTTTGTCGCGGTCCCCGTTGTCTCCACAACTTGAGCATGTAGGGCCAGAGCGGATCCAATGCTATATCTATCCTTGTCGCCTGCACAGGGTCAGCAGTCTGCCCATTCTTTGGGGGTGACAGTATGGTCCAGTAATTGTTCGTCAATCATTGGAACGGGTGTATTTTTCGGTCTGTGTCGGTCCCCGGGGCTCAATTTGCTATCTGGAGACAAGCCAAGGGTTCCCATGGAATGCCATTCCCAATGAGCAGCCTGATGAGGACTTTGAAAATAAGGGCTTCGCTTTGTCTTTCGGGGTCCAAGATCTCCAGCCCCCCTACTGCTCTAGGTTGTGTGAGCATGTTCCATTTGACCCAACTAATACAACCTTGGGTCTGGGTGCTGTTTTTCCACAGGTATGCTGTAAGCGCTCTCTTTAGCCTGACATATTGTTGCTTGTTTAGTGGTCATACTGCCAATTTATACCAAATGGCTGCTAAGATGGCGTTGTTAATTGCTAGTGCCCGCCCTACCAACGAGGTGTGTAGGCCTTCCCATTTTGCCAGTCTATCCACTGCCATATTGACCAGCATGTTCCCATGGTCCGGTGGGGGCCCCACTGCAGTGAGTCTCACCCCCAACACCCTTACTGCGTCTTCCTTGCGGGCCCAGGCTACAACCGGCTCAGGCAGGGGGGGGGGGTGTCCCTGTGGATGGAGCCACCAACCCTCTGTCTTGGATCCCGAGTTAACTCTCATGTCGGCATCCAAGGAGAAGAGATGTATCACTTCGGTGAGGGTTTGGAGGCTGACCGGATCTGCACGTAGGAGGACGGTGAGGTCGTCTGCAAACAGCGATGTTACCGGTATAAGATGTTGAGGTATGTCCATGATAGGCACCTTGCTAATCAAGGGATGGGATCTAATTAGTGATGCAAGGGCCTCCATGCCTATAACAAATAGCAATGGTGCAATGGGGTCACCTTGACGTACCGACCTTTGGAGGTGAATCGGTGGTGAGAGGTGACCGTTGAGCATTATGTTCGTTGTAGCTGATCTATGTAGCAGCTGCACCCATCGTCAGAAGGTCGGGCCAAAGTTCATCCTAGCAAGGCACATGTCCAGGAAGTCCCCGTCAACGTGATTGTACGTTTTTTCAAAGTCAATAAAAAGGATTGCAGCTTGGACGTTTCGCTGTCGGGCGTACTTGATAGTCTCGTTAACGAGCAGGATGTTATCTTGGATGTTTCGATTAGGCACGAAGCCTGTTTGGTCCATGTGGATGAGTATGTTCATGAAGGGCAGCAGTCTGTTTGTCAGAGCTTTGACTACCAGTTTATACGTGACAGGGAGGAGAGTGATAGGCCAGTAGTTCCTAATATTCTCTTTATCCCCTTTCTTATATAAAAGAGTTGTGACCCCTTGTCCAATCATTCCTCCAAACGAGCCCTCGTTCTGCACTGCCTTGATATATTCCATGATATCCTCACTCAGGAGATCCCATAATTGTACCCAGAATTCCTTAGGGAACGAGTCTATCCTAGGTGTCTTCTCCTCTTTCATGCCCTAGAGGGCCTCCCAGACCTCTTGTGGAGGCAATAGGTTGTTCACGATGCCCCTTTGCTCATGTGTGGAGCGCGTGTGTATGGCCTGTAGCAGTGTGTCCCTCGCCTGATGGACCTGGTCCAACTGCTTATTGGGGGTCTCAGATGTGAAGAGGTTTGTGTAATATTTGGAGGCGTAGTCCGCAATTGTGTACGTGTTGGTCACTGACGGGGCTGTGTCGTCCAGCGGGTGCCTGAGCCTGGGAACAGTGGAAGCTCTAGCTATGGACTTAGCCTTATTGAATAAGGCCTTTGCCATTGTTCCATCGATGTGTGCCTTTTTTATTTTCGCTTGCACTCTCCATGCCTGGGTCTGTCGGTCCACGTAGGGTTGGAGGTGGTTCCGGGCCTCTTGGAGTCTCTCATAGGAGGGGAGGTGCAACGGATCGTTCATCAGTTCTTCATCCCATTCTTCTAGGTCCCGCATGAGTTTGTCAAGGAGAGCTTTTCGGTCCCTGGCATGTTGGATGGAGAACTTTTTAGCCCTTTCCCTTAGTTGTGCCACCCCCTCGTTGAACCAGTTCACTCTTTCACCTGACTCTAGTTTCCGAGTTCGCCAATATTCCCAGAAAGTGGTGACGAGCTCTTTAAATTTGGGGAGGGAGGGCAGCGAGGCATTGATTTTGTAGAACCCAGCTCCTCGCTGTATGTGGTTATGGAATGACAGTCCCAGCGTAATCATCTTATGGTCAAAGGACTTACATGGGCTAATCGTTGTTATTTCCGCTGTTGTAACGAGACCCATCAGGTCCTTTGACACTAGTGTGAGGTCGATTCGTGAGTTGGCCAGACCATGCTCACCCCGAGACGAGAGGCATGTATATGTTTTTTTGTATGGGGTGCAGCAGTCTGTACGCGTCCTCAAGTTGTCTATCTGCCATAAGTTGCTTCAGCATGAGGACGATTGGGCCACATCTCGCCACTTGGGAGGGCGTCAAGCTCTGACGTTGGGATGTGGATCTGTGGTCCATCGTGGGGTCAAGCGTGGTGTTGAAGTCACCTGCTATTATAACTGGGTCGTCGTGAGGCAGGTGGTGGTGAAGGGGGAGCCAAAGGTCCACTCTCCCTATGGGATCATTTGGCGCATAGACGCTGACCATATAAACTCTTCTCCTTCATATTGCATTATTATGCAGACCCATCTACCATGGTGTTTGTCGTAGTCCATTGAAAGTGGTTTGAACTTGGAAGAGGGCGGGATCCAGATGGTCACTCCAGCAGATGCTCTTTCCACAGCAGCTGCAGAGTAAGATGTGTACGACAAGACAATGGCACACACTTTTCTCTTTTGCCATATGGGCTGGTGTGTGCTGCAGATGAGTTTCTTGGATGCATATCACATAAGGCCATGCTCTCGCCAGCGGGCATCTGAGCATGTCCCATATGGCATTTTTTTTTCCTTGTGATGCCTGTATCAGACCGTTCACGTTCAGCGAGCGAATGTCAATGTCCGCTCGTGCCAACTTAGCTGCCCATTGGGGCTGCCTCCTGGTCGGGGGGATAACCAGGGGGGATGGAGGGCGTTGAGGGGGTTGGGGAGGCACTGGGGGGGGCAGGTGTACGGGAGGGGGGGGAGGGGGACTCAAAGAGTGTGCGGGGGTGGAGTGTACGGTGTGAAGTTCCGTCTTAGGAGGGTGAGCAAAATGCGGCCCCATTGTTTGGAGTTCGTTCTCACTGAAGTGAACAGGTTGGGGACCTGCATCATCGTGCCTGTTACTTAGTCCATTCCTAGGGGCTGGTGAATGCATGTTTGGCTACATATCTGTGTCAGCATTAGTTTCTGTCAGGTTTTGCAGGCCAGGCACTTCAGTTGCCCGTCATCCACAACCGATTTAGTCCTTGGTTTTTACTGGGAGAACAAATGGCGGATCATCCCACTGGTTATGTTCGTCCAGCACATTGTCCTCTAGGAAGATTTGCATGAACAACATGACGTTGGTGAAGGTCCAGGCAATATTTGTTCTGAATCGATTTGTGGAGAGGTTCATGAGGTTTTGGTGAGCAAACCATGTGAATCTTGTCGGTGTTTTCAGAGATGTGGTTTTGTAATCCATCAACACAATGATTGGTATAACACCTTTCGGGAATGATAGTGAGGAAGGCAGAACGGCACCCCTCTGTATGTGTGTGTTTCTTGGCGCCAGTATTTTAGACGCTTGACGATCACTGTGTAGAGGGATTGCCCCTCCATCCTTCCACTGTAAGGCCCTTCAGGTCCAATGGCTGTTCGAGATAGCAGTCTAGAGGAGGTTTGAGCCCCAACAGCCATTGGCCACCATCTCTTTCCCTGGTCAGTGGAAGTATGACCACTCCTGGAGGAGTTTCCACCGTGACGTCGTC